GTTGCCCAGAAGGCAGCCGGACGACTTGGGGGTCTCAGCTGGGTGACCGTGCCGAGCCAAGTGGCCACCCAGCCCGCACCCGGTGAGGCCCTCCGTTCGTCCCCAAAAGCCCCGAAGGAGCAGGCGGGCAAGGCAGACGCTGCGGGTTTTCTGGCTCCCCGGTGTCTGCCCAGGCAGGCGAACCCGAAGGGGCCGCTGTGCCGGCCAGGGACCCTCCGGGCAGCGAAGGCCAGCGCAGGAGGCCCCTCTGCCTTGGGGCACCCCAGCCGGCTTGGCTCGCCGACACCCTCCATCCCCGCGCGGAGTCACGTCAGGAGCACGGCCCGGCTTGTCACGATGCTGGCGCCCGGAGCTGCGTGGGGGCTGCTGTGGGGATTTAATCTTCTCTTAATACGCGGCCACATCTGCTTCCTCCCCTCCGCGCAGAGGCATCCGAGCACAGGGGGAGGGGAGCTCCCGGCCACGCGAGCAGCGGGGAGACAACCCGCACGGGGCTCCCTTGCGCCAGGCGACCCCCAAAGGTGTCACGAGACGGGGACCGCCGCAGCTGCAGTGTGGAAGCACCAGGTGGTCCCCCTTTCAATGACTCAGGTAAAAGGCAGGTCCTCGGAAGGATCTTTGCAGCCGGGGATTGCCCGAGGAATCCAAAGGGTCTGGAAGGAGGCTGCCGTTCCTTCTGCCCTCTGTGCCCTTTGGCCGCGCTCCGGCGGCGAGCTGACCACTGGCTTTTTGCCCCACTGCAGGGGTCCTCGCCGGCCAGGCGCACAGCCCCCCGCGCCAGGTGAACGGGGTGCTGGGAGGCTCTGCTGTTCTCTCAGTGAACATCGGGCCGCCGGCCAAAGTCAAGGAGATCGAGTGGAGCTTCCGGGCCGGGCCGGGGCCCGCCCTCCTGGTGGCTCTCTTCCGCGATGGGAAGTTCGAGCGGCCCGACCCGAGCGACAGGTTCAGACAGCGGCTAGACCTGCTCAACGAGACCCTGCGCATAAAGGCCCTGGAGCTGAACGACAGCGGCCTGTTCGGGGCACGGGTGAAGCTGCTTCCGGCCATCGTGGAGGACCAGCTCTTCCAGCTCACGGTCTACGGTAGGCGAGCCCCGCGGAGCGCAGAGGCACCGAGGGAGGGGCGGGGGCCGCGACCCCACAGAAGCCCTTCTGGGCGGGGGCTTCTTCCGGCGGGCGAGGCGGGTGCTTGGCGGGCCGGCCCTGGCCCGCCCGGCACAGCGCAGCCCGGCCTCAAGAGGGGCCCACGCCTGGGCCCCGTGCCGGGGCCGTCCGGCGCTCTCCCACCTGTCCGCTCTGCCCCCAGAGCCGGTTCCAGCCCCGCGCATCCAGAGCCAGCTGGTGTCCAGCACCCCAAAGTGGTGCAACGTGACCCTGCAGTGCCTGTCCCCCGGGAAGGGGCCGGTCAACGTCACCTGGAGGAAGGGCAGCCCCATCCGGGACCTCGGCGGCTCCGACCAGTTCCAGGTCTCCCCCGACGGGAGGACCCTGCGGCTCTCGCTGCGGCCGGCCTTCCTGAACACCACCTACTCCTGCATGGCCAGCAACCCCATCGAGCACAAGATCGTGTCCTTCGACCTGCAGCGGATCTGCCGGAGCGGAGGTGGGCAAGGGGGGGCTTGTGCGTCAGCGCGGGAAGGCCTGCCTGGGGGTGGCCCCGGGCTGGCTCGGCCACGAGAAGAGCCACGCGGCGTTCTGTGCCTGGGAATGGGCAAAGTGCTCTGGGTGCCCCAGAAAACCTCAGCTCCAGAGAGGGAATAGATGGAGCACGGAATAAGCAAATCCGTACAAATGGACGACGGGCCGGACCACCCCTGGGGCACAGCAGCGGCCTTGGCTGGGGGGAAGGCCGCGGCGTTGAATATCTCAGCGCTGGCGTCAGGGAGCTGCGGAACTCCTTGCAAATTCAGAAGCCGACTGGCTGCTCCAAGACCACCGTGTGGCTTGCAGGGTTACTCTTTGGGGCTTCGCGCTTTGCTGGCCTTCTCAGCAGGGTCCCCGGTCCGAAAAGCGTGCCGAAAGCCACGCCGACGTGTGTATTTCCGCGGTCAGCACATTTACAAATGCGTATTTTGAGGTCAGCTTGGGCATAAATGGGTGCTAGGAAAGGAAGGGTGCCCAACATTCCAGTATGAATTTTTCTGCAGTTTTTAAATTCATGGGGACGTGTGACGAAGCGGATGTTTGAGTGCACACACACGGTCCCAGGGCAGACTTGCCATGGCTGCCCCGCGACGGCCTGGCGCCCTTCAGACGGAGGGACCCTGCTCCCAAGTGCGGGCGGCACAGCCGTGAGGAGCACAGCCCTCCCCGATGCCACCGTCCCCCAGCACGCAGGCCAGGCACCTCGTGTCCGGGCTCCCCGGGGCCCCCGTCCCTCCCCGGCCACGGCCTGGACCGCAAGCCAGCCCTCACCGGCTGCCCCCCCCCCCCCTTCGCCCCGACAGTCGAGGCGTCCTTCTCCAAGACCGGCTACGTCGTGCTGACCTTCACCCTCCTGGTGCTAAGCCTCGGGGCTGCCTTCTGGTGCTGGCGGATCAACAACGAGAAGTCGGCCCAGGCAGGTGAGCCAGAGACGCCCTCCCAGGAGGCCCCCCTTCCCGCGTGGCAGGGGCGGGAGTCGCACGCCAAGCGGAGGCGCTGGCCCCCCCTTCCCTCCTCCCACCGGCAGGCGGCAGAGCCTTCCCTTGCCCACGGCCTGCCCTGCCAGGCGCCTGGGACGGGCCCTGGAGCAGCCAGGTGCCCGGCCCCTGGGCCCTGGGTCATGCAAGGCCTCTCTGCCCCTTCCAGCCGCCGTTCCGACTGTTCAGGTGGAGGAGAGCCCCTCCGATCCGCAGTACGCCGAGATCCTGCGCAGGAGCCCCCCAGAAGGTAACGAGAAGGTGAGACTGCCCGAGGCCTTCCCGCCGGGCCGCGGCTCCGCCTGGTGGAAGGCACGGCCGGCCGGGGGCTGCGGCGTCTGCTGGAGGAGCCTCCGGAGAGCCCTGCTGCATCGGGGCCAGGGGCCGGTGGTCCCAGCGCCTCCCCGCCGGACGAGTGCAGGTGCTTCGGAGGCCCCCGCAGGCCAGGCGCCGGGACGACAGCCCTGCCTCTGAGCACCAGACATGGCAGGCAGCAGCGGGACGGGCTCTCTGCCGCAGAGGGCACCCCAGGGAGCCGCTCTCCTGGCCCCAGCGGCTCTGCTCCACTCTTGAGGCTGCCCGAGACGGTGCCGAGGACCGTGGCCACCTCTCCGGGCCCAGACCCCAAAATCTGGCTCTGTGAGATGTGGCAAAGTGCTTCCGAAGAACAGAAGGCGATCCTGCCTCTTACCTGCCCCAGACCTCCCACCACTCTGCTCCACGGGGTGGCCCCCTGGGCCCCCATGGCCCTTCTTCCTGCCCCACAAATGGCCGCGGAAGAGCGCCAGGCGGGAGCGGGGAGCCCCTTGAGGCCTGAGCAACTGCCCTGGAGCGCCTCCCAGGGCCACAACCCCTCCTTCCCCGCTTGCTTATTGTGCTTAGTCCCTAGGTCTCCCGGGAAGTAATGCGGAGAGGAGCCCCCAGAGAGAGCGGCTCATCTCCCCCACTCCTGAGCAGACCCGACGGACCCCAGGCAGCTCAGCCGAAGACGTCGCTTAGGCCCCGGTGAGAGTGCGTGGCCTGCCTGCAGCCGAAGACACGGGAGCCGAGCTGCCCCTTCCCGCCCCTTCCCACAACTGGCTTTCCTGCCACCGGAGAGGTTCTCCTGATGCCCAGCCACAATACCCCCTCCAGACGCTTGTGCCCCCTGGGCTGAGAGAGAGCAGCCCTCCTGGGGGCACCCGGCTGCAGGCTATGCCCACGCATGAGTCCGGCTCTGCTTCCCCACAGGCTCGGCGAGAGGGACGTTGCCAAGGGACCCCCCGAGGAGAGGCGTGCCAGATTCTGCCCTCGGGGCAGTCCGAAGCCCATCTTTTTGGCACACAAGGGGAGAAAACCTCCCCGGGCAGAGTTCTCCCCACCAGCCCTTCGCTGAGGACCCTCTTCCGACCGAAGCCCTCGCCTCGAGGCCTCGGTCCAGGTGGCCCAACCTCTGGGGGGCGCGTGCAACACTGCAGACCCTGGAGCCGTGCAAGCGGCCCCGGCAGGGTCTCCCCCCCCCCCCCCCCC